AAAAAACTGTAAAATTTAAATTGTGTGTTAAAATATACAATTTATTGGAACTAAGCTGGAAAAATCAATATGAAGGTAAATTAAATTATAAAACTTGAGATAAAGTTCTTTTTTAATTTATTTGGTGTATTTTATACGTATTTATTTAGTGGTTCATTTATATGTTTCTGCTTTTAATTCTAATTATGTCAGTGTCGGTCTTCCATACAGCAGAACTTGGAAGGGAAATATGTAAAACATGCAGGACTGCGGCCCTCGAGGACCAGGATTGTCCACCCCTGATGTAGACAGAAATAATAAAATCACAGTTCCCTGCAAAAGCATTAGATTAAAGCAAAGAAATAAAATAAGATTTTTATTGTAGATAGAAGTGGGCTCGTCCTAGTATATTATTATAAATGATATTGTCTTTTAAAATGATTTAAGCATTTTCCTAATTCTATGTTTAACAAAACCCAACAATTATGTATATTTGAAACAGAAGAAATGCATATTTAGTCAGATGATTATCTCTCCTCCTCGTTATCATCATCTTCAGTTCATGCAGATCTTGTCTCATTCAGTTTTTCTTTCTGACTCCTTTTCTTCCTGAGGAATTTTCATGTCCAAACAAAGACACACAATGAAAATCTATGTTCACAATATTAAATTATCTAAACAACTCATAACTAGTTAGAATATGTAAATTAAAGGTCACCAATTAATTCTAAAACATTTTTGTGTGGTTGAACCTTTGTTGACTCTGTAGCTCCACCAAGTCAGGCAGCTTTACAAGCTTTAATTCATCCTCAGTCAGTTATATTTACTAGAGAGACTACCCCCATCAATAGGCTGGGGCCAAGATATGCTAAGCGCGACGCCATCTTGAAACAGTCTACTTAAAGGGATGGGGCTATTCAAATTATGTAAACAATGCTGAGTACTTACCAGATTAACAGGTTTTTCTTTTTAGAGTAGGCCCGATTTACATGTACTCTATAACACATTTACACACACAAATATTTGAAAGAAAAAGTTTATTTTACCATATTATTTGAACTAAAAAATGTTATTTTTAGGGCTGCCACGACTAGTCGATTAGTCGACAACTAATCGATTATTAAAATAATCCATGACTAATTTAATAATCAATTAATCGTTTTCTTTTTTTTTTGTTCTTTACTTTGTTTTTCTCTCCAAACTGCTTTGACACCTTCCACTGCCACGTCTGCCTTTCTGTCGTTGACACACATGCACAGTAGTGGTAACTGGGGTAGGCCGTGGACGTCACAAGACATTATACAGACAGGCTCTGGTATCATGGCTACCTGACAACAGAGCTCAAAAGTGTGGGATCATTTTAAGGTCTGTTTCATTTAAAAGAGTCGATCATCAGATATTGTCCAAGATTAACCTTCAGGATGGATATAGCTCGCTAGCAGCCTCGCACCGAGGACCTATCCACGTCATCATTTACCCAGAATGCTTTGCATGTAAATAAAATTGCCCCGTCCGTGCAATATATTTTTAAACTTTTAGTTTAAAAATGATAAAAACTAAACAGCCTACAGTATTTTTACAGTCTTTATTTTGCAGTTAAAGTAAATGTTTATCAAATAAAGTTTAATGTTACAAATAAACATGGATCCCTTTAATAAAGCCACAATTGCTGATGTAAAAATAGATTATTCTATTCTAATCTCCATAGTTCATAATCTAGTGAACGGCCTGAACTCCCATAGCACCTTATCGAGTCCCTGCAGACTTCAGAGCACTTTAGTCCTTCACACAATGATGGAGGTGAGACACAGTGTAGCCACACCTGCCCTGGTTAGGGGGATCAAACCACCGGCTACAAGACGATGTCCCTAACCTCTATGAAGACTTGAAAAAGGACCACTAAAAATCAACTCCACGCCTCCAGCGAGAGATCGTTTTTCATTAGCCGAGGGTCCAGACCCTCTATATGAAGCAAAGATTTTGACAGATCTTGATTTTGACACATGCTGTTGGAGCTGATAAGGTAAACTTGTGCTATGTCCCTTCTTCTTATAACAACAGGACAGTCTAACACAGTGGTTCCCAAACCTTTTGTCTTCTGACCCACAAAATATTCATGGCAAAAATTTGTGACCCCAAATATTACTGGTCTGAGTACATGAACTTCGTTAATAACCCTAAAAAGACAGGCTTTTGACAATCTAAACAGCTTGTACACAAATATAAAAACTTATTTATACTTTTTTGTGTTTTTGTAATAATTATAGGGAAAATATTACATCAGCAATTATTTTATTTCCCTTTAAATTAATTTCTGGAGATTATCCAAGGTGCTTCATGACCCACCAACTTTGGGAACCAAAGTGCAGTGGTTCCCAAACTTTTTACCTTTTGACCCACAAAATAGTACAAAACAGTAGCAGAGACCTGTGCCCCCAACTAGTTTTGGATGGTAAACATTTGTATCAGGTCAACAAAACATGGGCATAGTAACAATATTTTTATACTACATTTATCCATTTTAAATATACTAACCTCACTCCTTTGTAACAACTAAGGCAAAAATGTAATTGATTCAGAAAATCTTTTCAGGACCCCACCTTGATGTTTCGGGACCCCACTTTGGGTCCCGACCCCAACTTTGGGAAACACTGGTCTAACCTGTCTGTCTGTGTTTTAGTCAAACATGTGTGAGGAGCAGACGGTGTCTCTGGTGGACGTTCTGGAGGAAGATGAGGAGTTGGAAGAAGAAGCTTCAGCTGTGTTGGCAGGAAGTGATTCTGATCTCTGCTCCTATCCTCAGGTAGTCCCAGCTCAAAAGAAAACCTGAAACAAGTTTAGAGTTTACAGTGTTGGTCTGAAGTTTTAGCCCAGGCACAGATGTCACGTTGAATCAAGGATAGTGTACTGAGATAATAATGGCAGCTTTAGTAAATGGGCTAAAAAAACTGATAACTGCATTTTGTCAAAATATGCTGAATACCTTTATATATTGGGTCCCTTGGAGGAAATGTCTGAAATATGACCCTAACTAATGTCTTAAAGTGCTTTTCTGAGCAGTACCAACAACTAACAATGATTTTGAGCTGAAAACTGTAAATTTTCTCTGCTTTTCCTGTGTGCTAGTGAACAATGGTGGGCACCAGTCTGCTAAAGCGCAAATCCGCTAATTGCAGACCTAAGTATTTCATTTGCGCTATAGCGGTCTTACTAATTTTTATAAGCAGATTTGCGCTTTCTAAAATTAAAATGCACCACTAATAACTAATTATCTACCCGTCATCACTATCTTAAACAGTGGAAGGTATGGCTGTCAATGAATCACAACGCTCTGATCTATCCAACAGCACCCCTCCCAGATAAACACAATTATTGGGAAGGTATACATCCTTGCTGACAGTTGCTTTCAGTCACTGTTCTCATTTTACAGACATTTCCCACAATGCTTTGTGTCTGCTTACGTAGCAGGAAGGCATTGGTTAGAACTATGTGACCGGGCGACACCCCCCTGTCCCATCAAAAACAGTTAATGTTTGTAACCCATACTAAAATTTTGTATTGATTTATTTTACTTTACAATCGGAGCTCCTTTAAAAAAGAAAAGTTTAAATGCTGGAGCTCAATACTTGATGTAATTGGTCGAAACAATCGGCCAACAGGGTTAGAGACGCAGAAATGATTTAAAAATGTTATGCTGATGAGGACTGACATCTAGTGGTCAACTGGAGCAACTACATGGAAAAACTTAAAATCCAAGCTCTTTTTTTTGAAGTGAAGAAAGTTTCCTGTACTCCGTGCTTTTGTTTCCCGTCACAAATCAAATCCGTCATGTACCCAGAATGCATCGCGTCAGTTTTCCAATAAACATTTTTAAAATGACTTTATTTATGCTTATTTAATGAAAAATCTACAACAAACAAAAGAAAAAGACAAAGAAGCAGCCGAACTAGCAATCCTCAACAACGTTTTAATTTTTACACGAGGAGTCAAAGTTCTGTTTCAGGAAATCACATCCCCAGCAATCAGAGGTTGTAGTATTAAGCTGTAAAAGGGTTCATACACCGCTAGTTGGCAGTATTGTGCATACAGTATATTGTGCATGAATTATTGCCAGCTAGTAAGTGTTAAATTGAACTTGTGATTTAAAATTAGCTTCCGCTAGTTTTTCTACGGCAGAAGTGCTTTTGAAGGTGCAGACCTAAATATTTTTCATAAGTGCTTTAGAAATTGCGGAGCTAATTTTCAGATTAGCGCTGCCCACCACTGCTAGTGAAGCATTGTTTCTTTTAAGCAGGTGAATCCAGATATTCAGAAATACTTTGTTTCCTCTTTTAAATGACAAGAAATCCTCATTAGGATATACAAAAAGTAGGATTCAGACACATTCTCCAGGAGACTTCCTGATTAGTAAGAAAATCAATCAGTCTTTGGAACTGATTATATCAGGATAAACCAGTGATGAAAATGTAGCTTAGAAGGCAGGAATCTCAAAATGTGCTGAACTGATTTTGAATAAATTTATCTACATATCTGGTTTGATTTGACTGGCCTGCACCTGGTCTGGTTTTTGATGCGCACTTACTGGTTCTGGTTTTTACCAAGTCTCAGGCCGATGTAAGAAAATTTAGTGTCCAATAACTGAAGTCGAGACGAAAACACACAAAAGTTGACTAAATTGAAATGTAAAAGGAATGAGGATCATACAAACACAAGTGACTGGATATGAACAGTGGTTTAATGCTGTTCAAGCATGCAGGAAACCAACACTGACCAGAAGCCGGAAGTTCCCGCTTATTTATACACATTCTTCAGTGCCTGGCCCGCCCTCTACTGGCCTACGGCTGAATCGCAGACACTCTGAACAGCAATACTCACCTAATGTTTCATAAACGGTTTCTTATGTGTTGTACAAATGTTTCGGGCATTTATCTAAACTATTTTAATCAAGACATAATAATAGTTAAACAATGGATTATAAAAGTCAATACTTAAAAAGGGAAACTATGAATATAGTGTGATGCTTCTAAATCAGTTTCTAACTACATAGTAAATTTCTTCACCCACATTCACTAGGACTGAGTAATTACTGCTTTTTCTCAGTTCAACATCTGGCTTTAAGGATGGATGGATCTGAGGTGGCACAATGAGCTGTGGGTCAATTGATATGAGACAATCAGCTCTGAGTTGATTGGCTACAGGTCCATGAGTTGATGTCTCAACCAGCCGTGGGTTACTGGGCTCACAGGTCAGCTGGTTAGTCAGCTGTGGGACTATCAGTCAGATTGGCTCCGTGTGGGTCAGTCAGCTCAGGCTTGATAGATTGTCCCATGACTAACTGTTCAACAGTCAGCTATGGGTTGAACATCAGAGGATCTATAGGACTGACGTCATGTCTTCGTTTGTGTTTAAGGGCTACGTGAAGCGGCAGGCACTGTACGCCTGCAACACGTGTACATCGAAGGGAGGTGAGGCTGCAGGAGTCTGTTTGGCCTGCTCCTACAAATGTCATGAAGGTCACGACCTCTATGAACTCTACACCAAGAGGTGACTGATCAACTGTGCATACACTGTCCTCATTCATATACTGAGAAAATATGTTGTAAATGTTTTACTGGATCAGAGAATACTGATCTGTTTTTAAAAGTGATCAGATCTAAACTGTTTGTCTTCCTTGTTTTTTTACAGGAACTTCCGCTGTGACTGCGGTAACAGGAAGTTCTCTGGGCTGCAGTGTAAACTTTACCATGTCAGTTCGCCTGAAAACACCTACACACATCTAGTTTTATCAGAAAACACCTGTTTAAACACGTACTCATCCAAGAACAGGTTTATTTTTGTCAGGACACACTCGGACTCACCTGTTCTCATGTGCAAAAACACCTGTATTCCATTGTTTGTTCGTAGGAGAAGGATGACACCAACAGTCAGAATAAATACAATCATAACTTCCTTGGAGTTTACTGTACCTGCCGCCGTCCATATCCTGACCCAGACGACCAGGTGATAAACTGCTGAAGCTCACCTGTCTCCCAGGTGTTAATGTGAAAAAGTCTGACTAATGTTGGTTGGTGGTTGTGTTCAGGTAGAGGATGAGATGATTCAGTGTGTGGTGTGTGAGGACTGGCTGCACGGCAGGGTGAGTGAGTCCAGCGGCCTTCAGGTAACATGCAGGTGATAGTCAATATCACCTGCACCTGTGTTTACAGGAGGTAATCTGCAGTTTATGGTCAATATGTGTCGTGTCACTTGTCCATTACCTGTCAGCTCACCTGTCCATTACCTGTCAGCACATCTGTCCATTACCTGTCAGCACATCTGTCCATTACCTGTCAGCACATCTGTCCATTACCTGTCAGCTCACCTGTCCATTACCTGTCAGCTCACCTGTCCATTACCTGTCAGCACATCTGTCCATTACCTGTCAGCACATCTGTCCATTACCTGTCAGCACATCTGTCCATGACCTGTCAGCTCACCTGTTCATTTACCTGTCAGCTCACCTGTTCATTTACCTGTCAGCTCACCTGGTCAATTACCTGTCAGTACACCTGTCCATTACCTGTCAGCTCACCTTTCCATTACCTGTCAGTACACATGTCCATTACCTGTTAGCACACCTGTCCATTACATGTCAGCTCACCTGTTCATTTACCTGTCAGCTCACATGCCCATTACCTGTCATTACCTGTCAGCTCACCTGTTCATTACCTGTCAGCTCACCTGTCCATTACCTGTCAGTACACATGTCCATTAACTGTAGCACACCTGTCCATTACCTGTCAGCACATCTGTCCATTACCCGTCAGCTCACCTGTCCATTACCTGTCAGCTCACCTGTTCATTTACCTGTCAGCTCACCTGTCCATTACCTGTCAGCTCACCTGTCCATTACCTGTCAGTACACATGTCCATTACCTGTCAGCACACCTGTCCATTACCTGTCAGCACACCTGTCCATTACCTGTCAGCACACCTGTCCATTACCTGTCAGCACACCTGTTCATTTACCTGTCAGCACACCTGTCCATTCACCTGTCAGCACACCTGTCCATTTACCTGTCTGCTCACCTGTTCATTTACCTGTCAGCTCATTTGTCCATTACCTGTCAGCTCACCTGTCCATTACCTGTCAGCACACCTGTCCATTACCTATCAGCTCACCTGTCCATTACCTGTTTGCGCACTTGTTTGTTTACCTGTTTGTTTATTTGTTTATGTAAAAGGATTCTTTAGTTTTCACTCACAGGGATCAATGTTCCCTCTGTGTGATTACCTTGTTTATGTGTGGTTACCTGTCTGTATTTACCTGCACTTACCTGAGTGTAGTTCAGGAGTTTACACCTTGTGTACTTGGAAGTAATTCCCTGTGCTTACCTGTGTGAACAGCACCTGGGTTGTGTGGTTCCTGATTGTGTGGAGCTGCAGGAGATGATCTGTGAGTCCTGTATGAACAAAAACCCCTTTCTCTGGACCTATGCTGCTCACCTGGCAGGTAAGCCTTCCTGTTCTTATTGAGTGCATACCTTACAAGCACGTGCCTTGCCATTTCCTCCTTGTGTGTTCTGAATTCTGTTTAGTGTCAGGTACAGAAGTTCTGATGGAGGGAGAAAGACAAACGTCTGCTTCAAATGTTCCTAAAAAAGAAGAAAAGGTGAGACGTAAAATCCACCTGATTTTTAAACCTGGTACTCATGAAGCAGGACAGGTGAGGTGTTGTAGTAGGGAAGGATAGCTTCAAGGTGGAGGTGAGGCTGCATCTAGGATCTGCTCAGCCCCTTCTTGTATGATCTGGTGTTGGTCAAACTAACAAATGAGGACAGGCAGGAATCCTCATGGATACAGTATAAGGATGCAGGATACAGTGTAAGGATGCAGGATACAGTGTAAGGATGNCGAACCCTTTGTACGAACAAAAGTAAGAGAAATTTAGGATAAGAATACGAACATGTTCTTGCATGAGGCCCAATATTCAGAAAGTTAAAMCTTGGGTCTTCTAAATGGACAATGACTTGAAGCATTCTGCGAAACTGGTTACAAAGTGGTTCAAAGATGTCAAAGTCAATATTTTGATGTGGCCATCACAAAGCCCTGATCTCAGTCCTATTAAAAGTTTATGAGCAAAGCTGAAAAGGCATTCAAGACTCAGTTACACCAGTTCTGTCAGGAGGAATAGACCAAAATTTCTGCCAACTATTGTAATGTTTGTGGAACGACATCCAAAGTATTTGACCCAAGTCTTATAAATGAGGGGTAATAGTACCAAATACTATTAGTATATTTAAACTTTTGATTTTGAAGGAAGTAATAAAAATAGCCTTTAAAAATTCTCTCTTTCATTATTCTTGTTTCTGTCATCTTTCAGTAGAAGGCGACCTATGAACTTGGTCAAAGGTCTTCTACTGCTGTTCAAATGTGGGCACAACTCCTACATTGTTTTTTCTCCTCTCATTATTCTGGCATTTAGCAAATAGAAAAAAAAATGTTAATCAAAACTGACCTAAAACAGGAAAAGTATTTGTTCTTATTTCATGTCAGACAGTTTAAAAAAAATCATATCTGTCTTTTTATATAGTGTACGTCTTGTTCTTCTTCAACTGTACGTCAACTACTTTGGACTTTTACCTGTATGTTAACCCTAAAAAATCTGTAATTTTCACAAAAACTGTGTCTTATTCACAATACAGGGGGTGGGGAGACTTCTACCGGACTGTCGTCTGCGGGTAAAAAAGGGGCTGAGATGACATCACTTTGGTGTTTTCTAATGTAGTGGTCACCTCGAGGTGGAATAAACCGCTCCACTTGTCTTTAATCTCAGAAGACCTCCCTCAGAAGAGACATTATATTTTATTTCCTTTAATCAAGATAATAAACAAAATAATAATGTTCTTTATATTTTTGATTTGTATTTTCTTTTAACTACAAGTTATTATCATTTTATAAATCAGTTACATAATGAAAAGAATGACAATCTATCTTTTGCATTATAATTAAGAAAAAACACACAAAAAGAATATTGTTCAAATGTTTCTTTATTTGATTGTTCAAATAAGTGTTTTTAATCAACTGTTATTTGACAGTAAAGTGATTATGTGTTTTTATTTTTATTTTTCAATTTAACTAAATTGATCATTATGAATATGAATTCACTATGTTTTATTATGAAATATATAAATGGGTTTTTGTGCTTGAATCATGGACAAATGTTTTAAGATTTATTTTAGTTTAAATAATTCACTTATATTTCATTAAAACTTAGTTCATTTTCATTCAGTGTTAATCCTGTCAAGGTTTGAACTTGTTTTTTCTGTACAGGTGCTGATGTTTGAACAGACCTGTGGCAGTACCCTGGACTAAACTTCCAGRCCACCTGTTGGAGGCCACGTCTGTTAGTAACCTCTCCTCTTGTAGTTTACTAACTCCAGACAAGCCTCTCAACAGACAGACACCTTCATTCAGTACGAAGTGAAGCTGGGCTTTCCTCCTCAGGAAACCCAGCTTTCGGTGATAAGATCTACACTCAGGTGCCAATGAGCAGATCTTGGTCACAGGTCCATGATACCACTAATCGTGACCAAAACAACCATTTTTAAGACTCTGAGTTTTGTTTAAAACTTCTGTGAGAAGTCTTTTATTTTGAAAGAGGACACGTTTGGCTTTGACTCTCCATTTGAACTTGCAGGCATCAGAAGACGCTGAAAAAATCAAACCACTTGAAGTCTTACTGGACGGTCAGTTGAACCTGACCGGAGCTCTTGCTGACCTGGCTGAGYACTTCCTCAACGCCTGACCTGACTYTGAAGTCGTCTAAAAGGTAGAGGCTGATTGTTTGATTAAGCGTACCGATGTCCGGCTYKATCGAGTGGGAGACTCATGTGCTCATTCCTGGCTCCTCACACATTGATAKGATAAAAGTTAGGGCTAACCCCTCTTTCCCTCTATTTCTTAATCTTCGCTTATTCCCTAAGAAAAAGTGCCTCAAACAACGGTCTATTTAAGACCTTAAGCCTGAAATTTGTTGTTCCTGATAAAGTCGTCAAAGTAATGATCATTAACCCGGACAGGTGTTAATTGCTGTTGGTTTCAACTTTTTATAAGAAATTTGATTGTCCACAATGAGCTGTACATTAGTAATTTATTTTATTCTGTAAATAAAAATCATTTATTTTAGATTAACTTAAACTCCTGAGTACGTTCACTCATTGTGTGATTTNGGAGCCAAGCTGCAGACAAGAGGGGCTACAGGCGATACCTCAGAAAACAGACCAGTCAAGAGAGGAGGAGGCGGAGCCAAGCTGCAGACTGATGGAGCTCCAGGCGATGCCTCAGAAAAGAGAGCAGTCAGGAGCTGTGTTCTGGCCACCTGCGTGGCGCTCCAAACTCTGCTCCTGCAACACCTGTCAGGTAGTATTCACCTGTGTTGGCTTTGGAACTAATGATTTAAGTTTGGGGTCATGTAGAAACTTTAAACAATGACTTGAATTTGAACTAATCGAGTCTTTCCCTCCAGAGGTCTTCCCTGATATACAGTGGTTTGCAAAAGTATTCATACCCCTTGAACTTTTCCATATTTTGTCACATTACAACCACAAACATAAATATATTTCACTGGAATTT